CTACCATGTGGTACTATATATACTACTTTATTATTTTAAATATATTCATATAACAACAAGCATTGTGTATCTTGTATTACAGGAGGAAAGCATCGATACAGTCTTTTACATCACAAAGTGGCCTGTCTAGAAACCAACCACATTTCATTTGACCTAAACTGAATTAAAAAAAAAACTACGTTTGGGGTGTTTCCAGATTTCTGTCCACTATTACTTGACCGGGAGTGGGTGATAGAACCTATAGACCGAGTAGCCCGCGTTGATGACGGTGGCGAAGGAGATCAAAGCCCCAAAGATGACAAAGAAGGTGACAGACTGCTTGGGGAAGCACTGCAACCTCACCCACTTGATGGCCTTGGCGGGCGTGCTCTTATGATGCGCCGACACGTCCTCGCAGAGGCGAAGCAGGTCTTTGGAGTAAAATGTGTTGCTGTACTCATCCGCGAGTCCAGTGAAGAGGTCGACGATCTCCTTGTCGGTCTGGTGCGTGTGCGCCAGGATCCCGCGCTCCCTCAGCAGCTTGGCGTCGGCCTCGGTCTGCAGCAGCCGAGCCATGCAGATGGAGTAGGCGGTGACGCCGAGGCCACACTGGTGGTGCCTCTGCTCGAACGCGATGAGGCTGCGGAAGACGGGCTCGCTGTAGCCGTGGATGTGCTGGGCAGGGACGTGCATCACCCCTCGCATGTCCATCATCTCCCTCTTGAAGACGATGTGTAACGAGCTGCCGCCCGGTGCGGCCTGCTTGCTGAAACTCGTCCGCCACTCCTCGAACCAGGTCGCGCAGGGGAGGTGCGACTCCGGCTCGGCGTGCAGGCAGGGAGAATCGTTGAGCAGCATGTGCTTGCCCTCGGGGACCCGCGACCAGTGGAAAAGGTGCAGCAGGTGATGAACTGTCTTTGGGAACGTGATGGTTTCTCCTGCCTTGGCTTGTTTGATGACACCACTGAGCGGCGGGTGGATGTCGTCGAAGCAGGAGAGAGCCAGCTCTTCTATGCTGCGCTCGATTCCATTGAACAAGGTGCCTTTCAACCGTCCGTGAAGCTCGGCCAGCACGAAGAAGGGGATCTGGTTGCTCAGCGTCAGCAGGTCCAGCCTGGTCTGTTTCATGTTCCGGCACATGTCCGCGGACAAGTAGTTGAACTGCCTCTCACGCTCGGCGTCATCATGGGCCGGCAGCGCCGGCGTCGCGTGCACGCTCGACGTGAGCAGGAAGACGGCGAAGAGGAGCAGGCAACCGTCGAGCAGAAGCATCCTGGGGAGATCCTTGGAGCTCATGGTTTCTTCTTCTCTGGATGGCTCAGAGCTCACGGTAAACGAGCCAGCCTCGTAGCAGCTCTGAACTCGGGCATCATTCTCCTTCGCCCAACGGAGGAAGTCGGCGGTGTTGAGGCCGGACCCTTGCTGGCTAGCAAGAAACTTGACGATGGCGCACTTCTTGGCATCTGTGATGAGTGAGCCTGACGACGGGCGGTGGTACGGCCCGACAGCGGCGACCATGATGCTGCTGGTTGCGGGCTCGGGGTGATCCAGGGCCGGCGAGGCGGCCGCCTGCGGAAGCGTGGGCATGGACGCCAGCGCTACTCCAACGGCGGCGCGGCGGCGAAGCTTGAAAATTGACGGGTAATCGAAGTCTAAGTTATTACCACCGATAGAGTCGAGCCTTGGGAAGTGGGGAGGGATGCTCAGGGTTACTTGCTCAGCTTGCTTGCGGATTTTCTCCTCCTCCTCCTGGATCCAGATGGACGAGCTGCCATTGCCGGGACTTTCTTGGATTTCCGGATCTTCCGCACTTGCCACCGGCATGTATGGTTGAGCCATGGCGCGCGGTAGCTAGCAAGAGGAAGAGAGTTTTTGATGTATAGATGATCAGCTAGGGAACTACTATGTTATCTATAGTAGGAGTTTATGCGAAAGGGAGGAGAGTGGTTTTATGGTGTAGCGATTACGCGGTAAATACGACCGAAAGAATCCAACCAAATTTGCAACACGCTTTTTTTCCCTTTAAGCAGAAGGCAACGCGTATACCACGACGAGCTACTGTATTGTACTCCGTATACTCCACAATGATCGGTCGCGTGGAACAAGTCTGCCATTTTCTTTTCTTTTTTACGTGGAACAAGTCTACCAATGTCAATATTCAAAACTTGAGGTTCATCTCTCGCCACGATAATGAGGCCCATCTCAGGCCACGATTGCGCACGTAGAAAACTGGAGGCCCGTCTCAGGGCCACGATGGCGCACGATGGATCCAAGAAACCCGCCAAATCCACATGGGGCTCGCCTCATTCTAATCGGTTGGTTAGTCACGTAAGAACAGGTCAACCTTGCCCATTCACAACTACGGCGCCTCCCTAAAAAAAACTACCGCGCTCCACTAAGCGTCCTACACTACCGGAACAGGGCTCTAAGCCGACAGCCAAATGTATGCCGACGGCCACCGTCGGCCTAAACCGAGATATGCCGACAGCTAGGTCCTGGCCGTCGGCGTACAATGGCCGTCGGGCTATCCCCGTCTACGCCGACAGCAGCCGTCGGCACATAGCGGCCGTCGGCTTATCCCAGGCTACGCCTACAGCTGCCGTCGGCATATACAGGCCGTCGGCATAGATGCGGGCCCGCCGACAACACTCATCACGGCCGGCTAACGACGTCAAATCTATGCCGACGGCCATGACGGGTGGCCGTCGGCATAGATACGGGTGACATGTCACCGATCCAGAGCGCACCGACCAGGACATATGCCGACGGCAGCCGTCGGCATAGCTGACACGTCACACATCCGCGGCGCTGTCCATCTGCCCTGGCCGCAGCTGTGCCGACGGCTTTGCCGTCAGCATAGATTTTTTTTTCTTTTTTCCTTTTTCCCATATAGTACTATTATTATTATTATTAAGCATACAATATGTGTTAATATGCATACATATAGATTGTGTTAATAAGCATACATATAGTATGTGTTAATAAGCATATAATATGTGTTAATAAGCATACATATAGTTTTTTTTCTTTTTCTTCACTGTTTTCTTTATTATTATTATTTAACTAACTTACATACAGTATGTGTTAATAAGCATACATACATTATTTTTCGGTTCTGTACAGAGCGGTGTGACCCCCCTCACGAACGGTGCCGCCGCCAGCCGGCAACTGGAATGGGGAACAACCGCATCGGGTCTATACGAAGGGGACTTTGCTCCAAGTGTTCATATATATCGGATGACCTACCACAATCAGATGGTGTTATGCCATGTCCGAAGAGGCGGCACGCATCTCCGGGGTGTGGCCCCGTCATGGACGGCGCCGCCGACGGCACCTGGAGGGGGGAACGGACGCGTCGGGTCTACATGGAGTGGATGTATCTGTGGGTTTGGCCCGGATGTTGCTCCCGGGTGTCCTTATGGGCGGACCTGACACAACCGGGTGGTGTTGTGGCATGTCCGAAGAGGCCGCACGCGTCTCCGGTGCGTGGCCCCCCTCACGGACGGCGCCGCCGCCGACACCTGGAGGGGGGGAAACTACCGCATCGGGTCTACACGGAGTGGATTTAGCTGTGGGTTTGGCCCAGATGTTGCTCCCCGGTGTCCCTCTGGGCCGACTCGACACAACCGGGTGGAGAGGTCCACTGGTCAAAGCCCATCCGTGCAAAGTCAAAGGGCTAGATCCCGTGGTCAACCGCTCCAGGGTTAGGCGGGACGGGGGCCCTGAGGGGTAG